TTCATTGTTTCTTGAACAAGCCCAGCACATTTTAAAGATATTTATATATTCGCGTATTCTGGTGTATTCTCGTGTATTGTCAGTGAGACTGCACCAAGCCCAGCACATTTTAAAGATATTTAGATATTTGCGTATTCTGGTGTATTTTGGTGTATTGTCACTGAGACTGGACCAAGCCCATCACATATTGGAAATATTTATATATTTGGGTATTCTGGAGTATTCTCGTGTATTGTCATTGTGAATACACCAAGCCCAGCACATTTTAAAGATATTTATATATTAACGTATTTCTCGTGTGTTGTGATTGTGAATATACCAAGCCCAGCACATTTCAAAGATATTCAGAAATTAGCGTATTCTGGTGTATTTTCGCGTATTGTCAGTGCGAATACACCAAGCCCGGCACATTTCAAAGATATTTGTTTATTTGCGTATTCGGGTATATTCTCGCGTACTGCAAGTCAGAATACACCAACCCCAGCACATTTTAAAGATATTTCTACATTTGCGTATTTTCGTGCATTCTCGTGTATTGTCGGTGAGAATACACAAAGCCCAGCAGTTCTTAAAGATATTTATATATTTGCGTATTCTGGTGCATTCTCGTGCGTTGTCATTGTGTATATACCAGGCCCAGCGCATTTTAAAGATATTCAGAAATTAGCGTATTGTGGTGTATTCTCGTGTATTGACAGTGAGACTGCACCAAACCCTCCAGATTTTAAAGATATTTATATCTCTGCGTATTCTGGTGCATTCTCGTGTATTGCCAGTGAGAATACACGAAGCCCAGCAGATCTTAAAGATATTTATATATTTGCGTATTCTGGTGTATTCTCGTGTATTGCAAGTCAGAATACACCAAGCGCAGCACATTTTGAAGATATTAGTATAGTTGCGTATTCGGGTTTATTCTCGTGTACTGTCAGTGCGAATACACCAAGCCCAGCACATGTCAAAGATATTTATATATTTACGTATTCTGGTGTATTCTCGTGTTTTGCAAGTGAGAATACACCAAGCGCAGCACATTTCAAAGATTTTTATCTAGTTGCGTGTTCTGATGGATTCTCGTGTATTGTCAGTGCGAATATACCAAGCCCAGCGCATTGTAAGGATATTTATATATTTGCGTATTCTGGTGTATTCTCGTGTCTGGTCGGTGAGAATACATCAGGCCCAGCTGGCCCAGCAAATGTTATGGCAATTCGTATATTTGCGTATTCTGGTGTATTCTCGTGTATGGTCAGTGAGAATACATCAGGCCCAGGAAGCCCAGCAGGTGTTATGGCATTTCATATATTTGCCTATTCATGTGTATTCTCGTGTATTGTCAGGTAGAATGCACCAAGCCTAGCAAGCCCAGGAATTTTGGAAAAAACGGTCTGTTTTTGAGAGTTCACTGCGCAGTGATATTCTTACAGCGGTTGGAAAACATTAAAATTTAAAATAAGAATAAATTAGTCGTAGAGTGTCGTTATGCGGGAAACAGTTTTTATCATATTCAATTAAATTAATTTTGTTTCAAGATCGAGAAACGTTCTCTGTACTTAAATAATTAATTCAAGAAATTAGTATTTTAATGTTGCAGTTTATGGAGTATTAAAACTCGGAGGAGAAGAAACTGCCTAGATAGATGACATTTTGCACCTTTTCACATTCTAAAATGCACAATATTTCGCATGTGGTTTCGTGGGTTTCTTTTTGTCTTCATTCTTAGAAGTGAAGAATAGTTGCAGATGTATAATAGCATAGTTTTTGAATTCTTGCTGTTTTTTCCCGGAAGTTTCAATAGTTCGTCTAGTACATTGTTATTCATCATTTAAATATTCAATTTTATATTTCAGAGAAACGACTGATTATGACTGAGAAAAGCGAGAGTGACGATAGGGCTCACAGCACCTCCGCTTCTCAACCCTCTTCAATTTCCGTCTATCTTCTTTGGCGTTCGCATTAGCGTGACAAGTTCAAAGTGCAAACATTGTTTAGTCCAGAAATTAAATTCGATTTCGAATTAGTTGCTCGATTATCTGACGGATAGAGTCAAGATCAAAGTCCATGCATTTAGCAATTACAACTCGATCTGGTTTCTAATGTCGACGTTCAATTCGAAATCAAGTACAAAAACACGTTGCACTAGGCGAGTCAGTATCATCTACGCATCATGCAGAAAGGGATGATGAGGACTACACACTTTGATGAAGAAAAGCCACGAATCTTTCATAGCTTCGGTGTTCCACATCAGTTCCTGTTCGACGTCATTTTTAAACACTCATCTCCAGGTATGTTATGTCAGGACAAAAATATCTCGATATACTACTAATATAGCCAAAGGAGAAACAGGTGATTTAGATCAGCCCAAAATCAGTCGAAAATCATAAAGCACCTGCTTCCCCCTTGAATATAGCACATAATCAATCATCTTACTAACCTGCTCTATATGTTTCTGATTTAGGTGGAAGCGTCAGTTTTTGGAAGCATCTGTGCCTTTTCGCCTACTTTTTGATCAATCAACGCATGTTCGATGCTCTCGATATCCTGATCGAACAATTTGTCTCGACTGTACATACCAATTCGTGTAAGTTATCAAAATCTGAAGTTAAATGGCTTCACAAAGACGGCATTTGAGCATCTTCATTATATTGAACAAATTTTAAACAAGCCATTAGCACTCATTAATGTGATACGCATACTTGGTATCCTGCCTGTTGAGAAGAATAATCTCTCGGTCGTCGAACCTGCTGCTCATCAGCTAAGTGTTTTTCTATTGAAGCAAGCATCACAACAAATAACAACGTTACTCAACCAAATGAACGAGGCTTACTGCCTTCTATTCAAAGATGGCCTTACGACCCTCATGTCTGTTGAGATCCTGAACGATAAAGTCACAGGTTCAGCGAGCAATTCGATAGCTTTGTTGGATCTTATGCATTTTTTTGATGAAAATAAGCAGCGAGACGTGGCAGGTCTACTTCTGAAGCGGCTCATACAGCTCGAACGACAAATTCACCAAGAAGGCTAGACTAACGAGGGAAGGCCACCGACTGATCCCTCGCTTTTGAGCTTTAACTTAGTTGACAAGGGGTAATCGAACATGCTGATTCCGAATATCATAATAGTTTTTGCCCGCTTTCACCTTAAAGCCCCGTTTTTCAAAGATCTTAGTTTTTAGGCCGAAAAATCATTTGCACCAAAAAAAATTTGTTGATCTGTCCATATGAAAGAGCACATCGCAAAACCAACAA